TACTAGATAAATGGACGTGTGGAGTAAGGAAACTTGCCTTAGCTTTTGTAACAAGCATATTAATGGAAGCCAATGGAAGAAAAACATTCAAATGCTTAAGAGTTTCTGATACCTAAGTTTGCACTAATGTGATGCATTTAGATATGTACAAGTCAGTGCTTTACTAAGAGCCAGGCCTAGGTCTTAGTATAGAATGCTATTCATAGTCAGTGGTATGCAGCAAGCTGGGCACAGGCCATTTTAAGCAGAGCCAAATCCATCTCAGGAGACCGTAACAAGCAACAGTGTGTGTTTCTTTAATAAACCTGAAGTAATCCAAATAATTCCAGAGTAAGATGCAACAAACAACATAATTCAAAATCACAAGTTGCTTGTGGAAACTAAGGCATCACAGCCAGAATCACCCCAGGGACTGAGCAACTGAGATCAAATTAATAACCTATATAGGAATACAGATTTTCAAAGTTTCAGATACAAACTCTTCTATGTTCCTGAAATATGAGCAAGGCAATGCTTTGGAACTTGGGCCTGCAGTTGGGAAACTAAGGGACGTACATCACGAGGCATACTACATCACAAGATCTTGCAGCTCGCGTCCTCTCCCATATCAGGCTCTGTGACCCTATCAGCCCCACCCTCGCCCGGCTCCACTGGCTCCCCATCCCCCAGAGGATAGAGTTCAAAATACTCATTCTTGCCTTCAAAGTCTTGCACAGCCTCGCTCCTTCCTACCTCTGACCTGCTAACGCTATGCCTGCTCCACATCACCATCGGCAGTCAGGCCTTCAGCCTCTCTGCCCCCACCCTTTGGAACTGAATCCCACAGTTCCTTTACCTCACCTCCTATCTCGCCTCCTTCAAGACGCTCCTCTTCGACCGCGCCTTTGATCACCCTCCTACCCGAGCCCTCCACCCCTCCTGATCCCAACCTCCCAGCTCGGGTCCAAATCCCTGACTGTCCAGCGCCTTGGGATGTCCACCTGATAGTTGTTGTTGTAGTTGTTGCTGCTAGTAAAAGAAACAGAAGTCTTGATAAAGAGTGCAATCAAACCATTGAAATCTTTTTTCTCTAATAATGAAAATAGGGCTGAAATTTCAGGCACTGTAATATAATAATCAGAAAGTAATGACATCTTTAAATTTTTGCAATAGGTGAGCGTGCAGAGGGAGGGGAGGTTACATAGTTTGTAGGGTCCCTCTTTGAATTTAAACATTCTCCAAACTGTATGCTGTTCAAGTGCTCTGGGACACTACATTACGTGAGGGTTCTTGTTGAGAAGGAAGAATAGTTGCACAAAAATGTTTCACCTTAGGAATAATAAAGTCGCAGTCGTAGCTCCATATTTTGATTTAGCATAGTTTATTGAGGTAAATATTCTAGGTGTTGAGGTAACAATTTTTGCATAATATTACTTTGTAATGACCAAAAATATTACAACCAGAAATATAGATGGAATGAAAATCTATTTTATTTTTATAAAAAAGTAAAACTAATTTCCCAATATTACAAAATACTGTTGTGCTATATAGCTCATTATAGCTAAGTACACCTACATAATAATAATAATCTTTGCACTTGATATAGCGACTTATCGCGTCTTCGAGACGTCACAAAGTGCCTCACAGGATATACTGGAAAGTGAATTGACTATTTTGTGGGCGAAACTTGGCAGCCAATTGTGCACAGCAGCGTCCCACAAACAGTCATGGATTGAGTAACAAAATTATTATATGCAAAAATTCCCTTTGTATAAAATTATGATCTGCATTATCTCCAAACATTGATTCTAAGCAAACTTGGTTACCTGAAATTCCAGAGCAATCTTTTCATTGTTCGTTACCTTTTTCATTCCCACGTCCCCAAAATTTAGATTAGAAAAACTTTTGGTACACAATTATCTCAATTAGGCGCTATATCAAATGCAAGGATTATTATTATTTAACTATTAAACTAGAATCCTGGATGTCTAAATTCTTAATCTTTTTACTTCCACCTTTACATTCATAAAGGTTCCTGGGCTACATTTCCCAAGGCCTAAATAATTTCAGATAGAGCAGTTTCTCTACTTTGCTATGATACAAATGTCATTAACAATTAGGTAAAGGATAATGAAGTCCCAGCAACAATGGGACGGATATACGATAAACTCGGTGATGAGCTGCTGTCAATTTTAGTCCTTAACGAGACTATTGTTTGGACTGAACCTGTCAGAAAACATCACTCAGGTGCAAAGTGGCTACAAGCTGTTAAACAATGATTATGGAAGGGCCTATTGGATTGAATCTGATCACTGGCAAAACAACACTCATTGTTAGAACCTGTGCCTAAGGTTGAAAACCTTTTCTAAACACCTTGCTACAGTTAAATGAATGGCTATTGTGGATGGCATCAAAATAACAAGGATGTGTCTTTCATGAAACATCCAATTAGGACAATATTCATTCCCAATGAGGGGGGTGGGAGGGAAGAGAACTAGAACCAAACAGTTTAGCACTCAATGAAACTTCAGAAAATATAATTTGGGTTATTCGGTAAAAAATACATTCAGTTTATAAAAAATGTTAAAACATTTTTAACAAAAAAATCAACTATATTCAACTTTCATTATCACCAAAGAGCAGCGGATATCCTTGACTCGGGTCCAAATCCCTGACTGTCCACACCTTGGGATGTCCTCCCGACGTGAAAGGTGCTACACACATATAATTTATTGTTGTTTAACAATTGTTTAAGGGAAGTCAGCATATGTATATAGATAGGAACATAGGATCAGGAAGAGGCCATTCAGCCCTCAAGCCTATTCTGCCATTCTATAAGATCTGTACTTCAACTCCAATTACCCACCTTTGCCCCATACCCCTTGATCCCCTGACCAAACAAACATCTCCACCTCCATCTTGACAATGTGAATGGATCCAGCCATAATCCACAGCCTTTTCGGGTGGGAGAAAGTTCCAGATTTCCACTACCCTTTGTATGAAAAACTGCCTCCTGATTTCACTGCTAAATGGCCCGGCAACATTTTAATGTTATGACTCGATGTCGGCAAGAACAGGCAGAGCTGAAACCTAGATCATCCGACTGTTTATATCAGGGTTTCTAATCAGCCAACCCTGTACATTAGGGATACAATCCCTAATTTCCCTTTTTTTTGTATATGAAGATTTGAAAGGAAAAAACTGCAGCAGCACTTCTGATTACACTGATTATGTAGATGGATTTCCAAATGGATTTTATTTGCTGCAAGGTTCAAAAGAGATTAAAACATTTAACATCATAGCCCCCTTCATTCAGGATAGCATCTCGGGTCGTTTAACAGCGACACAGCCTGACCCAAGCCATGTGAGGTGACCGTACGCGAGGTCAGAGCAAGGTCTTCAGGTGTGATCTGAAGAGGTGGGAGAGGGCAAGGCAGAAGGATTGGGGGAAGAGAGTTCCAAAGTTTTGGGGGTTAGTGACTGGAAGCACAGCTGCTGATGGTGGAGCAGAGTGGATGAGGAAATACTTGCATCCCAGAATCAGAATTATAGAATCTTACAGTACAGAAGGAGGCCATTCGGCCTGTGCCGGCTCTTTGAAAGAGCTACCAACTAGTCCCACTCCCCCGCTCTTACTCCAACTAGTCCCACTCCCCCGCTCTTACTCCAACTAGTCCCACTCCCCCGCTCTTACTCCAACTAGTCCCACTCCCCCGCTCTTACTCCAACTAGTCCCACTCCCCCGCTCTTACTCCAACTAGTCCCACTCCCCCGCTCTTACTCCAACTAGTCCCACTCCCCCGCTCTTACTCCAACTAGTCCCACTCCCCCGCTCTTACTCCCAACTAGTCCTACTCCCCCGCTCTTACTCCAACTAGTCCCATTCCCCGCTCTTAACCTATAACCCTACAATTTTTGAAGCTCCTCTCCAATTCCGTTTTGAAAGTTATTATTGAATCTGCTTCCACCAGCCTGTCAGGCAGTGCATTCCAGACTGTAAGAACTCTCCGGGTAAAAACATTTCTCCTCGTCTGGTCTCCCCTCTGGTTCTTTTGCCAATTATCTTGAATCTGTGTCCTCTGGTTACCGACCCACCCACCAGAGGAAACAGTTTCTCACGATCTACTCTCAAAAACCCACATCATTTTGAACACGACTATTAAATCTCCCCTCAACCTCTACTCTAAGGAGAACAATTCCAGCCTTTCTTATCTCTCCACATAATTATAATATTTTGGGTTGGCACAATAATATGCAGAGCGTGTGTTGCACAGTGCTTGAAGAATTACCTTATATAGGATCAAATGAAAAGTAGAATTCCGCAAAAAAATTTTTTTTTAATGAAATGAAACCCTACGAATGTTTAAGTAACAACTATTGCACTGAGCATAACTATTCCAAATCCTGTATTTTGTAGGTGAAATGCGGCAGCCAATTGCGCACAGCAGTGACCCACAAACAGCCGTGGATTGAGTGATCAAATTATTATTATTTTATTGAATGGGAATATAAAAATATTAGCTCTGGAATCACTTGTACCAAATGTATGGTAGGATTTGCAGTTGCCAATTCGCACAGTGGGCAGGTTTCATTCAACACATTTAAGCACAATAATGGTCTCTGATGACGTTCTCATGTGGGAATTATTGCACATTTCACGTCAAACAAATATTTGCTCAAATTTCAACAAAGAAATCAAAGTCTATTTCTCTTGTAAAAACAAAATCATATTCCTTACAAAACTTTATGAACAAAGTATACTGTACAAGTGTTCAAAACAGAAAAATATATCATCACAAGCTACACTTGTATATCTTTCAGTTACATCGATATTAACATACTCTTTATGAAACCCAAATGGTTTAAAAACTTTACAAAATCTAGATAGATACTGCCTTTGGCTAATCTGAATTGTGCTGAGGATATAGTTACATTCAGCCTCTCTGCCCCCACCCTTTGGAACATCCCATAGTCCCTCACGGAGTCAAGGCCCGTCTCAAGACCCTCTTCGACCATGCCTTTGGTCACCATCCTACCCCTACCCTCCCGGCCCTCCATCCCTCCTAATCCTAACCGCCAGCTTGGGTCCACATTCCTGAATGTCCAGGGCCTTGGGATGTCCTCCTGACATAAAAGGCACTGTATAAATGTCATGTGTTGTTGCTGCATTGAACCACACAATCAGGTTGCTCCTTGGGGCACTGCTGGTGTGGAGGGTGAAGCGGGAGGTGATGGGTTCATGTTGTGTGTAACTCTCCGAGTATAAAACAGGATGTACGCCTGAGCCTTGCACACCTCGTCCACAGTGCAGATGGCCAGTTTGGAATCGTTACAGTGGACCCAGAATCCTACAGAGAACAACAAGCAAGTTTTAGATACGCCGTCCACATCACACAACACACACTGGCCATTAGAGATACAACATTGGTTTGACACGTTTGAGTTAACATTAACATTATAGAGCATGCGTCTTTGATTACAGTCGGTCTTCCTAAATCAGCAAGTAAGAATTTATTGAGAATCTATGTAAAGCAACTGGCTGTTGTGTTTGCCTACAAAATGTACAGTCAATCCAATTTGCAATATATTCTGAGAAGTTCTTTGAGATATTTCGAAGACATGATAAGGCGCTGTGTCAAATGCAAAGATTATTCTTATTAACTGCTTTGTGGCTTTCTTTAACAGCTCCACAAAACAATATTATATCAGTCTCAAGCTTTAGATAGATTACTATAACACAAACACATCTGCTAGGTTTCATTACATTACAATAATAACATTGCCTCATATTCAGATCACACAACCTCACTATAAACATGAACAGAACGCACCTCCTTCTGTATTGTAGCAATCCGCTGTGTAATGTCCTGAGCCAAAGCCCTTCCCATGATGCATGACAACAGCAGACAGGTCATAGATGAAGCGGTCTGGACTGAGAGATCTTGTGGCCTCTCTACAGCAGTATGGCTCCAGGTTCAGTATTTGATCGAAAACGGCATGTACTCCTATTTTCTCACGATGATTGCGACCCGACCACCTGAAACAAAGAGGTTGTCATCAATCAACTGAGTTCACCCACAAAACACACAGTCACTACACTTTACAGTATATTCGGTGAAGCACTTTGGGACGTCTTGAAGATGTGATAAGGCGCTATATCAAATGCAAAGATTATTATTGCTGCTGAATGTCAAACCTAAACAATAAAACTGTTAGATAAATAATTGTTATTACCGGAAGCGTTTGAGGTGCAGTCGCAGAACCTGAGGTAGTCGGTGGACCATCAGCTGTTTCTGTGCTTCAGTCAGGATCAGTGGCTTTGATGAGGATTTCCTGCGTTTTCCTGAAACACAAAACATTTGACATTTCAACAACAACTTGCATTTACCCAGCGCCCTCAGGCAGGGCAGCGTCCCAGAGCGCTTGTCAGTGGCGGAGCAGAACGCTGAGCCGGGGGGTGGTGACTGTAGACACGGTTGAAGACGAATGTCTTCAGGCTCGAGCTGAAGATGGGGAAGGAAGGGGGCGAGGCAGAGGGATAGAAGGAGAGAGTTCCAGAGTTTCGGGGCATAGTGGCTGAATGCACAGCCACCGATAGTGAAATTGTCCCACAAACAGTTGTGGATTGAGTGACCAAATTATTATTTTTTTTTTGGAGAGATTATTACCCCATGGAAAGTGATCCGCCAATCGACTAACAACCTGGTTCCTACTTACTGCTGGGTAAACGGAGGCTTGTGGGGCAAGGAAACTTTCCCAACGTTTCACCCTGCCCGGGAATCGAACCCAGGTCCTCTTGTTCGCTAGGTGAGTGCTCTAATCACGGAGCTATAGGACTACACGTTGCTGTACATTTACTCACTGTTGCACTGATCACAAGCGTAAATTTTTCCTTCCAAGGCTTCAGTCTCGGTGAATTTTGCCAACATTTCTGTCAACAAGCAGGGCTGCTGAGATGCTGCCTCTTTCCCACTGCAGTGGTATCGTTCCGGAAACTCTAGAGAAAGGTCCCAGAATGGTTCAACTGTATTTGATTTGTTATCACAAACAAGGCATGTAACCTATACAAGCAAAAACATATGGGTCAGTGATATAACAACAACGACGACTTGCATTTACACAGCGCCCTTCATGCAGGTTAGCGTCCCAGAGAGCTTGACAGTGGCGGAGCCTGATTCCGAGCCGGGGGAGAGGAAGGGGAGAGCTGACCATAAGCACCATCAAAAAGGAAGGTTATTAGGTGGGATTTGAAGGTGGGGAGGGAGAGGGCAGGGTGGAGGGAGGGAGAATTCTAGAGTTGCAATGATCCACAGCAGCATAAGGATCAAAACTGCATCAGTCTCTTTTTCAGGATGACAAACTTAAGGATTTAATGGGAAAAATTACCAACCAGACAAACACCGCAATGTGCCAAAGCCTGGAGAATAACAAAGAACTACAGGCTTTCAGTCGAGGAGTTAATTAAAAACTAAAGGAAACAACAACACTGGGAGGAAGTAAACTTCATATAAGTCATATCAGTTGAATCCATACATTTAATATGACTTAGCAAAGAATGAGTTGTGTCAAACATAAATAATAGGAAATTCAACGGGACTTGGGCAAATGTACGATTTAGGAGATTATATAATTTATACAAATTTTACTGTATATAATATTGTGTCCTTTGACACTGTGACCTGAGTAAACATGGTGTTATCAGTAATTTAGGCAAAGGGGCTACAACACAAGAATATCCACAAATATATAAAGCAGTGGTCTCTGTTTTAGTTAAGAACACTATTTGCGATAGATACACTGGGTAATAGATGACAAATCAAGTTTAATGTAGGAAAAGTAATTCACTTCAGCTGCAAAAATAAAGAAGCTGTCTATAGTCAAGGTGGTTCATAATATAGGGGTTAGAGCCCTCGCCTCACAAGTAAGAGGACCCGGGTTCGATTCCCGGCTGAGCGAAACATTGGGCAAGTTTTTTTTACTCCACACAACTCTGTTTACCTAGTAATAAGTAGGAATCCGGTTGTTCGTCGATTGGCGGATCATTTTTCTCGGGGTTATAACCCCTTTTAAAAAAATTTGGTCACTCAACCCACGACTGTTTGTGGGACACCGCTGTGTGCAATTGGCTGGCGTGTTTCGCCCATAAACTACCAGGCCAATCCACTTTACAATATATTCTGTGAAGCGCTTTGATACGTTTCAATGACATGATAAGGCTCTATACCAAATGCAAGGATTATTATTATAATAAAGCTAGACCCAGGTGGAATCTTTCCCTATATGTAGTCACACTTGCTGCATGACTCACTAATGAAACCCATGACTTGTTACCATAGACAACACGAGTATCAGGGCCACGTGGTGTGCTAACCACTTTTATTAGCTGTGTGTCTGCAATCATCAGTTTCTGCTGAAACCTGGGAGTATCCCAGTACAGGTATGTACGGACCTACACATCCGCAGTGGGACTCAAATTTAAAAGGAGTAAGAGAAACTATTCCTACAAACTGTAACAGCACATGTAACACAGCCAAAAATCCCTTAATTTTCAAATGCCTTCATGCCCTGGCAACTCCCTACCTCTCCAACCTGCTTACCCCACCCAACCCACTACCTCTGCCTCCGCTCGCCTGGCTCCAGCTTCCTGCTTGTCCCTTGTGCCCTCGGTGGCTACTATGCTCTGAAACTCCGAAGACCTTCCTGTTCGACCGTGCCTACGGTCAAATTCCCCCTCCACCGGCTAGGAGTCGTGCTCTGCCACTGACCAGTGCTCTGGGATGCTACCAGAGGGGCTGTATATAAATGCAAGCTGTTGTCAGTCAATTCTCACTTTAAGTTAGAGCCAGTACCTGAAGTGCTTTTGGTCTCTGAGAGCCCCAGATCGGGAAGAAAGATTTGTTTTAACAAAACAATCTTCCTGAAGTTACCTGCCACTAGTGAGCCCTGGTGGCAAATAATACATGTGGGGACGAACGATGGGCTCACCTGTGCTGCTCCCCATAGGTGCCTGCCAACACTCACTGACATGGCTCACACAGGAGCCAGGTACCAGCATCCTAACCCAACCTGAGGCTCCACCTTAAGGAGACAAGCGGAGAGGAAAGAAATGGAGAAAACAAGCCATGAGACAGACGCACAATTTAATAATGTTACTCATCTGTTGTGCAGCCCGTGAAAATGCCATGTCTGTTCAGTTTCAATCAACACTAAAACACGCCATGTTAGGTAATGTGGATTGAAACTTATTGATCAAGTTACAAACTTTTAATTCACATCATCCCAATATTAGGTGAATCCAACTCCAGATTACTATAATAATAATCCTTGTATTTGTGGATTAAACAGTTGTGGATTAAGTGACTAAATTATTATTTTTTAAAAATGTATTTGTGTTTTGTTAAGAGATTATTACCCCCAGAAAAGCGACTAACAACCGGATTCCTACTTACTGCTAAGTAAACAGAGGTATGTGGGGTAAGAAAATTTGCCCAACATCTCACCCTGCCCGGGAATCAAACCCAGGACTCTGGCTTGCGAGGCGAGTGCTCTAACAACTACACTACATCACCCCACTCTTTGTAAGGAAACAATAAACAATAAATGCATAATATACTGTATTGTATATATAATAATCCCTCCAAAACCAAAAACAATAATAAATTGGTCATTTTCAATCCACGACTGTTTGTGGGACATTGCTGTGCGCAATTGGCTGCCGCGTTCGCCCACAAATATACAGTCAATTCACTTTACAGTGTGTTCTGTGAAGCGCTTTGGGACGTCCTCCCGACGTGAAAAGCGCTATATCAAATGCAAGGATTATTATTATTATTACTGTATTGAGACAAGAAATATATATAATAATCCTTCCATTTGATATAGCACTTTTCACGTCTTCTAGACATCTCAAAGCGCTTCACAGAATATACCATAAAGTGAATTGACTGTATATTTTGTGGGTGGCAGCCAATAGTGCACGGCAGCGTCCCACAAACAGTCGTGGATTGAAGTGACCAATGTATTATTTTTTTCTTGAGGGATTATTATTAGGCGTGTGAAGGAAATTTGCCCAAGGTTTCACCCCGGCCGGGAATCAAACTCAGGTCTCTCGCTTGAGAGGCGAGTGCTCTATCCACTGAGCTACAGGACTCCACAAATATTCTAAGAGATTCTAAAATAGGCACAAAAAAGAGAACTTTTCTCTATCGCAAAAATCGATGGACACACCTCTAATAATTCAGCACTCACTGGACATTTCACTGGACGGTCAGTCTAGACTATTAATCTCAAAACCCAATATTGGGCTTTGAGCTCACAACCTTCTAACCCAGAAGTGAGGGAGGAGCAATTCCAACTGAGCCACACTGACATCCTAAAATATTAGAAAGTCAGCACTATTTAAACACTCCATTAACCAAAGCAGTTGTTTTCTTTAAAATAGGCACGACACATTAAATGACTCAGAGCCTGAACAACAAAGTCAATAACAAAAATCATTGTCACATCTTAGGGATATCGATCGGATCCACTGGCATAGCAAAGACTACCACATTTCATTTGGTCGTCTGTCTGGCGAAGTAACTGTAATAATTAAATAACTGTAGTAATTGAACACTTTCCCTTTAAAGCTTTTTGCCACGACTTTGACAAAGATCCAAGTCCAGTCATTAAATGACTCAATATGTTCCGAGTCACATCCTCAGAATACCACAAGCCAAAAGCAAAGTCAAAGTACAACCATTTGTGGAACAGTTTCCAATTAAATACAGTAAAACTCGTACAAAGCTTATCTTTATTAATCGTATATTCGTCTAAATCATACAACCACCTGAGTCTTATTCAACTGTCTATCAAAACCACTTAAATTTCTTTGCTGAGAGTTAGATGGACTATTACCCCCCAGAAAATGATCCGTCAATCGACTAACAAGCGGGTTCCTACTTACTGCTAGGTAAACAGAGGCGTCTGGAGTAAGCAAACTTGCCTAAGATTTCAATTCCAGCTCCAACATAATCTACATAACTACATAATCACATTAAGGAATGATAAAAACAGTTACTTTCTGTGTTCCCTCCAGAAAGATAGGTTTAACCCCTGTCAAACTTAGAGACCTCTAGATCCATGAGACTGGGCAAACAGACTGAAGTCTTTTCCTGTGTTGTACACTCTTATGTTACTAATGATGGTGTCATATTCAGGCTGAAATCTGCAGGCATATATATCTCCCCCCACTTAATTGCTAAACCTAAATAGTGAGTTATATATATCCTTGCATGTAGCACTTTATCACGTCTTCGAGATGTCGAAACAAAGCAGCCAATTGCCCACAGCAGCGTCACACAAACAGTCGTGGACTGAGTGACTAAATTATTGTTTTTTGGGGGGGAAAGAAATCCGCCAACTGGGTTCCTACTTACTGCTGGGTAAACAGAGGCATGAGGAGTAAGGAAACTTGCCCAACGTTTTGCCCTGCCCAGGAATCAAATCCAGGTCCTCTCGCTGGTGAGGCGAGTGCTCTAACCACTGAGCTGCAGGACTCCATCAATTACTGTTTTTACATTCAAAAAACAATACAAGTGGCCACAATAACAACAACTACCTGACTGAGGAGCTGGCCATGGAAGATGGTGTTGACCACACTCAGAACCTTTCTGATTAGCTTCCTCTGAGAGATGGGAACAGGGGCTGTGTAGATGGTTCCAGTGGCTTCCAATTCCTGCTGCACTTTATCCAGCAGCTCACACAGGAACTCCTGAGCGTCCTGCTGGGCATATCCATGGAACGTCGGGATGAGCCGCCACACACAGTGCAGCATGGCAAAGGGGGAGACCAGCGCCCATTTGCCGGACCACATGACCTGAAAGAGGGTGTGAAGTTCATGACACAGAGAGATGGGTTCAGAGCTGGGCTCCCTTGGTTGAATGAGCTCCATGTCTCTGCTCCTCGACGCTCCTCCGCTCAATCCCGCAGACAAACTTGGCCGTCTCAACCTCCTTTCCTCATCTCCAATCGAAGGTGCATTTGGGTTGCCATCACCCACTGGCGATCGCTTACTGCAGGACCTCGTTTTCATATACGCGGCACTAGCCAACAGTTCCTGGGTTTGGTTCAGGTTAAGCTGTAAGAAACACCTGCAAAAGACTTGCAAGTGACTTAGCACTTGGAGAATGGAGTTCATGTAGCAGGTATTTCCCAGGTTTCTCAGTCCTGTCACACCAGGCGTCAGGGTTGGCCTGCGTTTCATAGGAGAGTCGCTAATTTTTTTCAACTTAACGGTGTTTGAGGTAGGAGTGGTTGTTATCTCTGCTGATTTCTCTGACGTCCTTTGAGTGAGCGTCTCATTAATCTGAAACTGTAAGCGTAAACTCTTGCGAGGTGGCAAGTTCACAAACTCTTCATGCAGCCGCCGTTTTAGCTCTTGCCTTCTTTTCCTGGCTTCTTCCCTCTTAATATCAGCCTCTTCCTTTAATCGCTCCTCCTCCAGCCTCCACTTTCCGCTAGACGTCAGCTCGAACCAAGACTGGAACACTTTAGACATGAGAGACTTGCGTCTGTGCCACAACGCCGTGAACATCTGATCTTCATCTCGAAGCTGTGCCTGTGCACATCCTCGAGAAAGGTAAGAATCGTAGCCTCCTGCCATAGACCGTAACGTCCTCCCACTGCGCGTTGTACAATCATAATTCTGGCTCTTGATGGCACTCAACGTGCTCCGCAACAACTTCAGATCGCCCGTGGCATTGTCATTCAACACATAGTCATCGCAGACGTAGCAAAAGACGTACAATTCATTGACTTCCAAGGCCACGGGGTGTTTACTGTCCTGAAAGTGTTTGAGTGCATGTTCCTCGTTATATCGCCCACAAGCAACATGTGAACAGCATAGACAGGCCCACACTGACTCAGTGGTATTGCAGTCTACGCAATGCCACTTTTGGGGGTTTAAGATGGAATGGTCCTGGGCGAGCCGAAGCCGGCCCACGTGCTTACATTTATCCATTGATTTCAGACCTCACCAATCGGTACAACGCTTGATGAACAGCTGTCGGAAGAAAACACACAACAAAACCGTCACATTACAGCCATTGTATGATAAGCTGCAAAACATCATGGAATCCTGTGTGCAAATGGCTGCCGCATTCCACCCACAAAACACACAGTCACCACACCTTACAGTGTGTCCAGTGAAGCGCTTTGAGACGTGATCAGGCGCCGGGTCAAATGTGAGGCTTATTATTATTATAATATTTTGATAACGTCTCGCTGTGGGAGGTGAGGAAACAAACACCCACATCTTCCAGCACTTACTGGAGGTTAAGGCGATGGCGCTGGTCTCTCAGGCTCTCACGCTCCTGGGCTCTCATCATCCTCCCCGGCCCCGGGGGGTCACCACAGCCCCGGCCCCGGGGGGTCACCACAGCCCGGCCCCGGGGGGTCACCACAGCCCGGCCCCGGGGGGTCACCACCGCCCGACCCGGGGGTCACCACAGCCGGCCCCGGGGGTCACCACAGCCCGGCCCCGGGGGGGTCACCACAGCCTGACCCCGGGGGAGTCACCACCGCCCGACCCCGGGGGGGGTCACCACAGCCCGGCCCCGGGGGGGTCACCACAGCCCGGCCCCGGGGGGTCACCACAGCCCGACCCCGGGGGGTCACCACAGCCCGACCCCGGGGGGGTCACCACAGCCCGACCCCGGGGGGTCACCACAGCCCGGCCCCGGGGGGTCACCACAGCCCGACCCCGGGGGGTCACCACAGCCCGACCCCGGGGGGTCACCACAGCCCGACCCCGGGGGGGATTAGTGACAAACAGCGGTTGTGGAGTTTAAAGACACTAAATGGCGCTTTGACAGAACCCAACAGCTCTCCCTCCCCCACTCTCTCCCCCCTTCCCCACTCTCTCACCCCTCACTCTCTCCCCCACTCTCTCCCCCCCACTCTCTTCCCCACTCTCTCCCCACTCTCCCCCACTCTCTCCCCCACTCTCTCCCCCTCTCCCACTCTCCCCCACTCTCCCCCCCTTCCCCACTCTCTCCCCCCTTCCCCACTCTCTCCCCTCCCCACTCTCTCCCCACTCTCTCCCCCTTCCCCACTCTCCCCCACTCTCTCCCCCTTCCCCACTCCCCCACTCTCTCCCCCTTCCCCACTCTCCCCCACTCTCCCCCCTCCCCACTCTCTCCCCCCTTCCCCACTCCCCCACTCTCTCCCCCCTTCCCCACTCTCCCCCACTCTCCCCCCTTCCCCACTCTCTCCCCCTTCCCCACTCCCCCCACTCTCTCCCCCTTCCCCACTCTCTCCCCACTCTCTCCCCCTTCCCCCCACTCTCTCCCCACTCTCTCCCCCCTTCCCCCCCACTCCCCCACTCTCTCTCTCCTCCACTCCCACTCCCTCTCCTGCTGCTGGTTTGAGGCCCACTCCGAGCCCGGGGATTGCGGCCTTGTTGCTGCTGCTGTCCTGACTGACTGACCGGCGACTCCCCGCTCAGATCTCACTCCCTCAACCGTCGCCTCCCGCCGCCGCCGCCGCCATCTTGGGTCCCAGTGTCCACACTGCCAGTCTGGTGCGTCACCGCCCTGCGTCACGCGTCACCGCCCTGCGTCACCGCGTCACCGCCAGGCTGGTCTTCACGCACCACCCTGACGTCACACGTGCCGGGCGGGCGCTTTGGTGGCTGCGGTTTGGGCGGGTTTTCACGCCCAATTGGGCGGGTTGGGTTTTCAGCCTCAAGAATCTGCAGTGATGATGATCATCTCCATCCTCCAACAGGAACACAAGTACCAACTGATCACCATCCGGTCACTCCATCCTCCAACAGGAACACAAGTACCAACTGATCACCATCCGGTCACTCCATCCTCCAACAGGAACACAAGTACCAACTGATCACCATCCGGTCACTCCATCCTCCAACAGGAACACAAGTACCAACTGATCACCATCCGGTCACTCCATCCTCCAACAGGAACACAAGTACCAACTGATCACCATCCGGTCACTCCATCCACAACTCTATATGGGACTCCGTTGTGCGCAATTGGCTGCCACGTTTCGCACCACAAAACACACAGTCACTACACAGCAACAACAACAACAAGATTACACGTGTACACGCCTTTCACGTCGGGAGGACGTCCCGAGGCGCTGGACAGTGACAGCATTTCGGACCCGAGCTGGGGTCGGGGGTGGGTTGGGGGGGAGAAGGGAGGGGAGAGGAAGGGGGGTGACCAATGGTATGATCAAAGAGGAGGGTCTTGAGGGGGGACTTGAAGGAGGGGGTGAGGCGGAGTGACTGGGGGATGAAGTTCCAGAGGTTGGGGGCAGAGTGGCTGAAGGCTCTCCCACCAATGGTGGGGCGGGTGGGTCGGGGGACGTGGAGCAGCCGGAGCGGCTGAGCGGAGGGAACGGGCGGGTTGGTAGGGGTTAGGAGGTGACAGAGGTAGGGTGGGGCGAGGCCATGGAGGGCTTTGTAGGTGAGGACCAGGACCTTGAACTGGATCCTCTGAAGGATAGGGAGCCAATGGAGTCGGGCGAGAGTGGGGGAGATGGGGTCACGGAGTTTGGTGCGGGAGAGGACACGGGCTGCAGAGTTCTGGATTATCTGCAGCTGTGGAGGGAGGAGTTGGGAAGGCGGACAAGCAGGGAGTTTGCATAGTCGAGCCTGGAGGTGATGAAGGCATGAACAAGAGTTTCAGCGCCTGAGGGGTGAGGTAGTGGCGGAGTCGGGCGATGTTACAGAGGTGAGGGAAGGTAGAGCGGGTCATGGCTTGAATGTGGGGAAGAAGTGACAGTTGAGGGTCGAACAAAACACCGAGGTTCCTGCTGGCGGTGAGTTGAAGTGTGCAACCATGGAGGGTGATGCTCCCAGAGCCTGAGTTACTGAGGCGCTGGCGCGCGCCAACCGGGAGGGCCTCAGACTTGTTCACATTCAACTGTAGGAAATTTGCCCTCATCCAGGACTTTACAAAATATACAAAATACGCACAATATTCAGTCAATTCATTTTACGGTATATTCTGTGAAGCGCTTTGAGACGCCTCAATGACGTGATAAGACGCTATATCAAATTCAAGGATTATTATTATTGTTATTGTTATTGTTATTGACCTTTGCTTCTCAAGTAAAGTGCATGATAAGACCTTACATGTTTGGGCCACGAGAGGACAGTATTTAGACAGTCCAGTTATCCCGTGTTTTGTGAGGTTTAACTCTAATTCCTGATTTGATGTAAGTCAACACACACATCACCAAACTGCACTTTCTGCTTCTATTCTTTCACACACTCCTCATCCCGGTCAAAAAAAACTAAAATAAATAAACTAGCAGTAAATAGGAACCCAGTTGCAAATCAATTGCCAGTCAATTGGCAGATCACTTTTCTGAGGGTAATAATCCCTTCCCTTCAAAAACATTTTTTTAAAAAATCTGGTCACTCAACCCACGACTGTTTGTGGGATGTCGCTGTGTGCAGTTTGCTGCTGCGTTTCGCCCACAAAACAGTTACTACACTTTACAATGTATCCTGTGAAGCACTTTGAGACGTCTCGAAGATGTGATAAGGCGCTGTATCAAATGCCGAGATTATTATTATTATCATTACAACATCAGTGGACATTTTGTTCTATGTTTAGAATGTGAAATCTCATTAGAATGGAAAACTCATTATTGTTAGCAAACACCATGTGAGACAGACTCCCTTCCTGGTTCTCTGTGTCCGTCTACAGTACTTTACTGCCATCTGCCGTCTGTCTAAACCCAAATGACTTTGAGCTCGTAAAGCTCCTCACTATGATCACAGGACAGGAGAGCACAAGTGTGTGTATAACGAGCCGCCTTAAGCAAGAGTAACGATCAGAAAATCACTGTGTTTCACACCTCAATGGCTATGTAGCAGAGACGTCGAACAAAACCAGTTGATACAACGTCAATGTAACTCTGTTAAAACACCTGAAATAAATTTGGGTGAATGGCAGACTTGACAGCTGTGAGAATGAGGATTGAGACAGATGATCAGATATGTTCTATCCAACAAGATGGTTCATGTGCTGCTGGAATGGTGGAAGAATCAGCCATGTGTGGAATGTCACTAGTTAGAGGTATATAAGTGTAGGTTGTGAGGTTGGATTAACATTCTGAAGTTTGGCTTCATTACTCCCCTTGGGGACTGATGGGGGAGAAATGTCATGGGGTATTCTCTTCCTGGAGGCTTATCTGCATTTTGTCTCAAACTCTCCCCCCCCACAGGACTGAGTGTGACGACTGGAGTCTGTGGCAACAACAGCAACAACACATTACATTAGTATAGAGCCTTTCATATCGGGAGGACATCCCAAGGAAACAACCCTAATGGGGTCCACCCTTCAATCCACCCCTTGGAACTCCATCCCACAGTCCCTTCGCCTCATCCTCTTCAGTCGTGCCTTCGTTCACCCTCCTACCCCCACCCTCCCTGCCCTGGTCCAAATCACTGACTGTAGGACAGCGCAGGTTTGGGACATCCTCCTGACTTGAAAGGCGTTATACAAATGTATTTTGTTGTTCTTATTGTTGTATCAGTAAAGTTTAATGTGTGTCTAAATCCTAAATGGGGGCTTTAAACAACTTCCACAGTCAGACTAAACATGTAAAAATACCAGACAATTATGTTAAGGTGGGAAAATCATGTTTGTATTAACCTGGGCTCCAGCACTTCAAACCCTGCGGACTTATCAAATAAAAGCTGTTTAAATTCTTGAGTGCCATCAAGAAAGTGACGCCTATAAAAGCAGATTTTCCTCTGCGCTCTGTTTTTATAGGAGTTTGGGTAAAAGTCAACAGTGCTTAACCCTCGCTGCACTCTGTATTGTGACAGCAATCCTTGACAGCTTTCACAGGATACCTCTCACGTTACACCTGCAAAGTGGAGAATAATAATAATCCTGGCATTTGATACAGCATCTCATCACGTCTTTGAGACGTCTCAAAGCGCTTCACGGGACACACTGTAAAGTGTAGTAACTGTTTGTTTTGTGGGCGAAATGTGGCAGCCAATTGCACACAGCAGTGTCCACAACCATTGCACACAAACAGTGGTGGATTGAATGACCAAATTAATTTTTTTTTGAAGGGATTATTCCCCCCCAGAAAGCGATCTGCCAATTGATTACTGCTCAGTAACCAGAGGTGTGTGGAGTAAGGAAACTTGCCTGAGGTTTTGTTCTGCCCGGGTATCAAACCCGGGTCCTCTGGCTTGCGAGGCGAGGGCTCTAACCACTGAGCTACAGGACCCCACAATTCTCTGTCCATATCAAAGCTGAATATTCTAAAGCTGTAGATATTGTCCAATCATGCTTTACATCACGATAAATAAAAGTGTACATTTTTGAATTTATTTTTATGACTGTTGCTGAAGTTACGTTGCGGTCTTCAAAGGGTTACT